GGGGGCTTGGTCATGTTGAGTCTTGCTGGTTGACCTCGCGGGCGTGCTGGGACGGAGATGGCCAGGGACCGAGGTCTGCCTTGCCTTCACCCAGGCAACGGTCCTGGCCGCATCTGAGGATTAAGTGAGGGTGAAGACTGACCCTCCTTCAGCAGAGGAGGAACGGAGCCGAAGGGGTTGGAGCTATGAGTATGGCAGGGGGAAAAAAACAAAATTGGAGCTATGAGTATGGCAGGGAAAACAAAACAAAACAAAACAAAAAAATGCCACACTGTGCCTGCCAGCGTTGAACACAGCCCCCTAAACTCACGGTGAAGTCTCCAGTGTCTTCATGCCTTGAGGTTGAGTGCAGAAACCAACTTTTTAAATAACTATTTCAGTTACTGATTGGTGTGAACTTTTTTGAAAAAAAAAAAAAACACAAAAAAAACCACAAAAAAAACAAACCACAGAAGTAGCCGAGTTCAAAAATAGTAGGGATTAGTGTAAATCCCGATGTCTCTTCAGCTATACACTGGAATGCATTATACTACTTTAATGTGCTGTATTTTTTATTATTGGATACATTTGATTTTTCAAGTACATCTCTGTATATAAATATATAAAATAATGTGCACTGTAATAAAAGCTAAATTTAAACCTTTGGTGGGGCAGTGAGAGTCACTTGCTCTGGCTCTGCCCGCCTGTTCCCCTTCCTGGGACCGAGGGGCATCCCTGGGGGGGCAGGGACCAGCTGTAGCCCCGACACCCAAAACAGAGTCATTCCTCAGTGCTCCCCAGTACCCCCAAAGCTTAGCTCATGCTGGGGAAAGCACTTAGAGCAACCCCGTGGGAGACTGGTTAATTTTTTGCACCGACACCACAGGAACCTTCACCAGTTTTAATCAAAAAAGAAAGGTTGGTTGGGTCTTTCCTCAGCAGGGAGCAAGGAAGGTGCTTGGGCACCCCTACACATGTGAGTATAATTGTGGAACAATTGTCTTCTACATTGCTTTTTTTTATAGCTACATACAACTTAGCAAGGAGCTGCGTGCTGGATGCCTGCTTTAGTTACCTGCGACCCCTCAGTTTGCAGTGGAAGTTGAAATCCAGAGAGGGCAAAGTCCTGCTGGTGGATCGGTGAGAAGTGAAGGGGGGGGGGCAAGTCAAGATCATTGAAGTCAATGCCAAACACAGACTTTAGCGTTTGGACTAGAGTCAGGCTTTTTTCCCCAAATTTGGATGGTCTTTTAGACAAGTTTACCCATTCTTTCAAGGTAGTTTTAGTCACAGCAGCTTTTCCCATGCAACCCAGTCCCCTAACCCTCGTGTGTTCTCACACCGGGTCCCCAAGCACCTTTGACAATCACAGGTGATTTCTGCTGAGAAAAGGAATTTATTTTTTGTATATCCATGGTGTGATCCTTCAACATCGATCATTACAGCAGTAAGGAGTGACGACAGCGTACGGGTCAATCCATGCTCCATGAGACAAAGCCAAAGGCGTTAGAGGTTTTAGCGCAGATAGTGCTACAAACCCTGGCAGTGAACCCCATCAGCAGGGGCAGAGGCTGGGCAGCGTTTGCTTTCTAGAGGAGAAATTATCCCTGAAGAGTGGGGTTTCACGAGCAGGAGTGCCAGCATCCGCCTCCCTTCAAAGGTAAGCACAGAGCTGGGGAGATACTCGGTCTCTGACCATGCCGTATGACTCCCTCCCTTCTGCTGAGGGCGAACAGCGGGTTTTGGCAGAGCTGTGGCCCCTCTCACCAGGTGCTGAGCAGCTGGAGGGGCTGTGCCAGCGCTGCCATCCACGCAGAGGAGTGGGTCAGCAAGAAGTGTGCCAGGAGCCCG